ATAAGATTTTCTGGTCTGTTTCATCCTATATTGTAGAATTTCTACCTTTTTAGAGTAAACGGTTGAGGATTGATGGGAGAGGAATCCTACATCGGCTAATTAAGGGGTTGGTATGAAGCCTTTTGGGGAAGACCAAAGCAACATCACGAAAGCTTATGCTCAAAGTGGACAATATCATTCTATTGGGAACAGTTGTGATTCTCAACATAGTATCAGAGTCACGCCCTTATCTTAACAATGTCAATAGAATCCTCAAGTGTCGAACAAAGGGTGTACTTTGTTCTAGGGCTCCAGAAAAGAGTCGAGCCTTGATTAAGGGGAGGCTATTTGAGGGCTCCATAGGCCTCAGGAGAGGCATTATGGTGTACTTTGTTTGAGAGGAGAATTGTTTAGAGAGGAGTCTCACGTCAACTAAGGAGTTGATCATGAGTTTATAATTAAGGAATACATCTCTATTAGTACGAGGCTTTTTAGGGAAGCCCAAAGTAAAGCCATGAGAGTGAATAAGATCATACTATGGTGGAGAAATACTTTTCACTCCTGGAGTACTTTCTATCCAAATACTTAACCAACAAGCTTTCAAGAGCACTTTCGAAGCACACTCAAACAGTGAAACATGTCTTAAAAACAATGTAAAAGGGGGTTACCTGTTCCAAGAAGCTCGGAGAAATTGTTCGTCCGGATCTGCAAATCGCGGTGTGTGAAGCTCATAGGAGCTCCAGACAAGATCAGAGAGCTCTCCATGGCTCTCTTTAAAACCTTTCTTCTATGAACATTATAATATAACAACAAACACAGCAACCCAATCAGAAAAGCCATACTCAAAACAATAGGAATAATCGTAGCCTTTTGCTTAGCACTTCCTGAAGAATCTCTATCAGTTCTTGGCCTATTGGCTTCTGGTATTGACCCATTGGACCTAACCTTCACAAACAGAGTCGAACCAGCATCCTCAAACCCCCCAAAATCTAAGCTTCTCAACACCCAACAATAAGGTTTCTCTTCATCAAGCCCATAAACAGAGGCAACACACTCACAATTAGACAAGCAAGCATCGCCACATTTGGCAACAGTGTCGATATCACTGTAATTTGCAATAACAGAGAACTCAGAGTAATAGTAATTTGTTTGCTGAACTGGAGAAATCCTGAACTGGGTCGCCGGAGATTGATGATGTTGGCCGTCACATTTACCCACCGACGATGAATTCTCAAAGCACTGGCTACCGCCGGCGTCCTTAAAAGTCCCCGGCAAGCAAGAACAAGTCGCATTTGTCTTACTTCTATCCAAATAGCAAATCCCATTTCCACAGATTCCGGCAATATCACAAGGATTTGAAACCGCCGCCCATTCCGGCACCCATTGGCGAGACCCATTAACATCATCGTCCCATCGATACAAACGCAAGTTCCCATTACTCTCTAAGGTCAATCGTCGAACAACTTGCGTGCGTACATTTCGAATCGACTGATTTGTCGACGCCGACAATCCCCCATTGTCGTTATCGTTCTTGTAAACATACACAGCGCCATTAGCGGAGTCGCCATAGACCACACCGAAGCTTCCGCCTTCGTCTAGAACAGCGATGACTTCCCCTGTTACATTGGAAATGGCAGGGGCGGACCAGTAGGAGTAATTTGAGTAAGATTCGGGCAACCCCGCATAATTTTCAGGCAAATTGAATGTCAAGGCGAGTTTGAGAGTGGTGCGTTGTTGGAGCATTTTAAGGGCATAATATCCGCCATGGGAGAGGGATTTTGAAGTTGTAAGCTCTAAAGACACTGATAGAGGTTGATTTGGGAGAAGCGTATCAGATGGGTGTGAAAAGCTTTGCCAAATAGGGATTCGCTCGGCGTTGAAGAGGATGAAGTTGCCAGATTCTGACATGACGGCGAACTCCGCTCCGTCTCCGGAGGTGTTGGAAGACCAGACGGTGGCGCCACCGTCGATGAGGACGAGGTTTCCGGTGGCATCAAACTCCACAATCGCATTCTTGGAGACTGGAGAGTTTCTATACGTAAATGATTGAGAGAAAAATGAAACTTGATCGCTTAATTTGAGCTAATTAAACATTAAAATTCTTCTTTTTCATGTCTTTTAAGAATATGGCAATGAAAAAACACTTTCTTTGAAACAATTGATCAAAATTTTGGATCAAACACTGTTCTTCGCATGAATTGGTTACATAATCAACTATCTCTAATCCATTAGTAACTAAGCTGGCAAACTGTGGACAGTGGACTTTGTTTGTCATACTCCAAAGAATATTCTACAATCATTAAGATAAAAAATGCATGAACTCCACCTTACTCTATATTGCTTTACCGTACAAAATTACATATAAAAAGCATAAAATAGAGAATAAAAACAACAAACTTCATGCACAAGTGAACAATAAGAACATATATACATATATATACTAACCTGTTAGCTGACCAAACCACGGTTCGATCCCCGGGAAGCTTGGCGAACCATATGGCAAGTAGAAATCGATCAACCGTGCCACTATTAGCCGAACTAAACCCGAATGCAAAAGTACTATTATCAGAAACCCAAGCGTTTCTCTCACGATCACCAGCAACCAACCTCGCTCCAATAACAATTTGGCTAGCCATGCAAGCCCGAATCAGCCATACAACAGCCAAAGCGAACATGACCCACGAGCCATCGCGAGAAGACGAAGAAGCAGCTACAGCCATTAGAAGGCAAAGATCAGTTAGACATAGTTATTCAGCCATTGCCTTTAAATTACAAGAAGGATAACGATAATGGTAATGCAATAAGTGCAGAGAAGTTGGTGAGCTACATTTTGAAAAACCTTCCCCAAAAAATGGTCGGCTGAGAAAACACAAAGGGGGAGCCTTTGATTACACGTGTTAGAAGCTGTGAGGTTGAAGGCCGAAATTTCATCAGCTAATCTAACGAGAGTGATTGAGAAACTCAGTGGCTATTTGACACATTTATTGCTTCAATTATTGGTTTTGTTTATTTCTTCATGGCACCTGGGATTTTCACATTTTGTAATTTTTCAACCAATATTGCTCAAATTTTCCCATTGGCTTTTATGCTGTAGTTGACTTAATAATTTTGGATAATATAAAATGGATATATATTCAACGTACATTAAATGTCGTGATGGTATAAACTATGGTTGATATTAAGTTAAGATTATAAATACGTGTCGAGGGTTAACATTAATGTACTGTTTTAACATGTTTATCCATTTCAGTTGACAATAGAATAAAAAAAATTAATGATAAACTGAATTATTGATGGAAATTATTGTAGCAGCTTTAAATAATTTCTTTTTGTATATAAGGTTTTTTTTTTAATAAATAAAAAAAAAATGTTAAATACATGTTTAATCTTATTGCTAAGTTGGTATATACTTTGACCAAGATATCAAATGTTCGAGTAAAAAATGTTCGAATCTTCAACTTTACATGTTGAACTTAAAAAAACGTCGTTATTATTAATGCTAGAGGAACAAATATTTTTCTAGTATAAAATTATTAAAAATGTGTCCCAAGAGTCTCCTACACACTAGCTAGTATTTTAGTAGACCTCACTTCCTCCTAAGTGGACAAACTCATTAGACCTATGAGACTTGAAATGGCCAATGAGGGAACCAACGAGTTCTAATGATTTCTTTCGAGTAATCGAGCATGTCGACTTTTTTGCAAACATAGTTTGATTTATCCATTATTAGAAGTGCTCATATGATATGATAAATCGATTCACTTGAACTATTCAACTGAATTATATAGGTTCCGTTGGGTTTGATTTTTTTTCCTAATTTGGGTTTGAGTTGAATGTTTGGAAAACTAAATATAACATGTATGGTAGATATCAGGATTAGTCCAAAATATTTTTCTTACTCAACCCAACCTAATTTGTGTACACCTCTATCCATAACGATGTGCCCGAATAATAGTAATAGACATGGTTTCCCTTCTACGACGGTACAATGGACAATTGGTTATCTTCAACAACAATGGGCTTGACATTATAAAACTCGAAGATGAGATCTCGTGCTCCGATACCGTATTATAAGACAGTAATTATCCTAAATTAATTGGGTTTTGTTCTTGGTAATATGAAAGGCAAACTTTACAAAGAAAACACAACATTCTCTTTAGGAATCAGACTGAGGCAATAAGTGTTTGGATTCTCTTGCAATGATTATGGTGTTTAAAAGGGGACCAATTTGTTTGAAGTCGTTCTCCTTTTTTGGGTGTTGTCCCAAAAACCTCGGCCTCTGTCCATGTCTTTTGCCGACAATCCCTTGGACCATTGTCTGCTAAATTTACAGTGCTGAATGTCCAATTCAAAGTTGAGTGAAAACGACACAAACTTCTCTGGCTGATAAACGAGCAAAGTTTCAAAATCACCACCACTCAAAACTGCTTACCATTCCTCAGCTGAATGATAAAAACCAATTCCATTATTCATTCAAATTCAAGGACAACAACTTGAATCGACCGGTAGATGTTGTCTACGTCAAGTTTTATCGAGTATGAATCGACCTATAGATGATATCTACGTAGAGTCCTCTCGAGTATGAATCGACCTGTAGATGATATCTACATAGAGTCCTATTGAGTATGAATCGACCTGTAAATGATATCTATGTAGAGTCCTGTCGAGTTTGAATCGACCTGTAGATGATATCTACGTCGAGTCCTATCAAGTTTGAATCGACCCTGTTGATATCTGGCATCTACGGTTTAAAGTAGCGATGAATAAAGTGAATATCTTTTCGGAAAGAAAATCTGTCTTCTTCATGAAGTATAGAGGGAGAGGAAATGATTAAAAGAGATGTAGGGTTGAATGTACTGATGCAAACACTACATTATATTTGCCTGTAGGGACTCAAATTTCTGTTCCTTTTCCATCTTTTTCTCTTTTTTTAATTATTAAATTCACTGTTTTTTTCTTAGCCAATCACAAACACTAGAATTATGTGTATATATATATACACACATATATGAACCATCCAAGCTGGCCCCTGTGGAAATATATGTTCCATAAAGAAGAGAGTTTCCCTTTGTGTGTATATATTAGTATCTTAGAGCTTGTGTTGTTCTGCACATATATTGAGAGATAAAGCTGCAGGAAAGGAATGGAGACATCCCAGCCTCTTTCTATTGACAGCTTTTCATATAGTTGGCTAGTGAATATAAAGCCATCTCTAGAAAGCTCAGGCAACAACCCGGTTCGGACCTCGATCGACGCTTCCGACGAAGCTTCGTCGTTCATCGAGATGGACCCGAGAATGCCGCCCTCCAAGAGATTTTGTAGAAACTCTCAAGATTTCAAATTTGACTTCCCTGTCTCGCCGCCTTCTCTTGCAATTGTACATGCTGACCAGCTGATTTCCAATGGCTGCCTTGTGCCTTTTTTCATTGATCCACTCAAAGTTCAGACATATGAGGATGAAGATGAAGATTTCAATCCAAAATCTTCCCATACTCAAGAACACGTCCTTCCACTTCCACTTCCACTTCCACTTCCACTTCCATCCAATACTTCTGACTGCTCCTCCATGAGAAAGTGCAGGAAACTATCCAAGAAAGTATTGCACAAATATTTGAGTTTTTTCAAGCCATTGTACCAAAGAATAAGAGGTTATAAAGCATCAAGTTCCAAATCAGAAAATGTTGCTAGAAGATCCAAATCTATGAAGAATTGGGAATATACATACGACGTGTCGCCACGAATCAGTGTAGCTTACACCGCCGATGATTGGCGAAGATCCTGTGATTCTGAGAGCTCTATCTATGAGGCAGTCCTCCATTGCAAGAAATCTATAGGTACATGAAGCATGTTACAATTTGGTCATCATCATTATCATTATGGTTCAGTATTTTCTATCAGACCAGAAATCTAGAAATGAAAGCAGAGGATGAGATCAATTCAAGACAAACAACCAAAGAAGAGAAAAATTAAACATGAAATGATAATGTCCCCTTCTGCTACTATTTTCAGACCTTTTAACAATAAACACTTGTTTCGATACGCCTCTGACCGAGCGGGTTCCTTACGGTAAATACTCGAATACCATGTGAAGTTGATGAAGATGAATAGAACTTTTGTTCTTTACTTGGAGTTCTTTAGATGAGTTGAACAATCAAGTGACTCTTTGTTCATATTTTTAACCATTTCTTCAAAGTGAACTGAGTTTTTTTAGATGGGATCCCTATCTAAAAGACTTGGTAGATATTCAATGAGGTCATAAGGAAATTGTGGGGGGGTCCCCTAAGTTGCTTTTGTTAAGCAAGGAATCCATAGCATGTTGTTTTCTTGTCATTTGCACATGAAAAAAGCACTCCAACTTGCTTTTTCATTACATGTTCTTTATTGACAATAATTGTCGGGTTTTGTTTCTTAATCACCGTGATTCTATATTGAAGATGTTAATAATCATCTCTCATAGTCTTGATATTAACTCGGTTAAGATATATACTCACAACCGAAAGATCAGAGATTCGAATCTTTCATGATATTAACAAACAAACGTAAAACATAAAACAAAAGGTTATATTCCTAAGGATGGCTCATCATCCAATCATTTGTCAAGAACCACTATTGATATAGAACAAGCAAAGCTATTTATGGCGACTAAAATGAGTTAAAGAGATCAGTGGCTAAGCAAATGCTAGGTCATGTACCTCTCGTACGCCAACCGTGAGTGTAGCTCAACTTGTTAAGGCATATATATATATATATATATATTCAACCAAGAGGACAAAAGATCGAGTTTCATCAACACGCCAACCATGTGCTTAGTTCAACTAGCTAAAGCATGTACTCACCTAGAAGTTCAAATCTCTCCATCCCAACTCGTTAAAAAAGAGTTTAAAATCAACAAATTTGTTGCAGCAACTTCATCCTGCAAACGACAGTAGAATTTTTACTTTGAAAGAAGTATTTTTGTTTGGAAAAAGAAATTTTGAACAGCGCCGATTATCTTAGGCTAAAAGAACCAAACCCCATCTTTTTAGTAACACAATATCTAGCTCAAATCCTCTCTTTACCACAAAAACTTCAGAAATAGAAAGGCACTCGGACCGAGGGAACTCGATCGTAGCTTCGACCGATTGTTATGCATACTTTAGCACTTGAATTTAGCTTTTTGGTGGCAGGCAAACAATTAAAAAAGGGGTTAACTCTTTAACTTTTCTCTTGCACAAAGCTAAAAGATTCAATGCAAGTATTGGAGGGACTTAGTGCATGAATTTTAGTCACATCACAGGCCACTTGAAGCGTCCTCAGACCAAACTTTCAGTTTTATCTCTGGGCAAAATGATGAACATGGGCTCCATTTCTGCTCATGTGTCTGCTCCAAAATTGTAGCTTTCATTTTTGGTGTGCTTGATATTATAAACAGTTCGTCTTCAACTCTGTAATATTAAGGGCTTTTGGTAGATCATTTGAATACTTGAAATTCAATCAATGGCTAACATACCCAAAAAAGACAACACTGTTTCAGGATGGGCAAGCATTTCAGCCACATCTTCAAGCAGTGTCTCTTATTAAAAACCTTATCTTTTCTTCTGAATACCAACAAGATTTGCCTACTCCTTTTCACTATCATTTTGTGTAAAACTTTACAGGTGCTTACTTCATGCACAAAAGCTCTCAAGTACTTGAGTATAATTGTGCTGAGAAACCAAAAAAGAGAGCAGCCATGGTAAGCTCCTAGTGTCCGAGAAAAGGAAAAAAAATGAGTCAACACTAAATGGTTCCCACATCGCTGTGTCTCTCAAAAGACCCTCATAAGAATATAAGACACCTGAAAATCCTTTACTGCCTTTTTCTTTAACTGTGGTAAGCTTTTAGCTAATGGACTAAAAGTGTTGGCTAAAAATGAGAAGTTTGTCACATGTCTTTAAGCAAGAAGGAGGAGACATGGAGAAAATATGCAAGGACAGATGACAAAGGATGATAAAGTTATATGCTTTTCGACCGTTGAAGCATAGGATGTATAACGGTTCATGCCCACCGCTACCAAATATTTTTTTTTTTTGGGCTTTCCCTTTTGGGTTTCCCCTCAAAGTTTTTAAAACGCGTCTGCTAGGGAGAGGTTTCCACACCCTTATAAAGAATGTTTCATTCTCTTCTCCAACCGATGTGGGACCTCACAATCCACACCTTTTTAGGGCCCATAATCCTCGCTGGCACTCGTTTCCTTCTTTAATCGATGTGGGACTCCCCAATCCACCCCCTTTGGGGTCTATTGTCTTTGTTGACACACCGCCTCGTGTCCACCCCATTGGGACTCAGCCTTATCGCTGACACATCGTCCAATGTCTGGCTCTGATATCATTTATAACGGTCTACGCCCACCGCTAACAGATATTGTCTTTTTTGGGTTTTCCCTGTTGGGCTTCCCCTCAAGGTTTTTAAAACACGTCGGTTAGGGAGAGGTTTCCACACCCTTATAAAGAATGCATTGTTCTCCTCCCCAACCGATGTGGGATCTCACGCGATAGGTGTCTATACGAGCTTTGTCCTTGTGCCATTTTTGTATCAGCATTTTGTGCGGGGACCAGGACTTCCCACATGCAATCTGCCATCTGTGAGTCATCCTTCAGTCACTATAGTTGCTAACAAGACAAAGTAGCAAACTCATAAATACGCTTACTTTTGCCAGTTAAGTTGTGGGGTTCCCTTCATAATGTCCTTAAGCTATGAAGGATTAATAAGACAATTATAACTAAAGGTCAAAGTCTATCCTACTGGTAGTGCAATGAACAACTTTATGATCATTTCAAATTCTTTGCCCCAAGAATGGAACGAATCAATACGATTCAAGACCTTTCTGTTCACAAAACTCAACGCAACGTTACTGTACGGTTACCGTAGATGTTACGAACCGATCACTGTCAAGATATACTTTCTAAGAAGACTTGTAGGGAATGACTTTTAGGAAAGTTAGGACAAACTGATCTGTGCTAAANATATATATATATATATATATTCAACCAAGAGGACAAAAGATCGAGTTTCATCAACACGCCAACCATGTGCTTAGTTCAACTAGCTAAAGCATGTACTCACCTAGAAGTTCAAATCTCTCCATCCCAACTCGTTAAAAAAGAGTTTAAAATCAACAAATTTGTTGCAGCAACTTCATCCTGCAAACGACAGTAGAATTTTTACTTTGAAAGAAGTATTTTTGTTTGGAAAAAGAAATTTTGAACAGCGCCGATTATCTTAGGCTAAAAGAACCAAACCCCATCTTTTTAGTAACACAATATCTAGCTCAAATCCTCTCTTTACCACAAAAACTTCAGAAATAGAAAGGCACTCGGACCGAGGGAACTCGATCGTAGCTTCGACCGATTGTTATGCATACTTTAGCACTTGAATTTAGCTTTTTGGTGGCAGGCAAACAATTAAAAAAGGGGTTAACTCTTTAACTTTTCTCTTGCACAAAGCTAAAAGATTCAATGCAAGTATTGGAGGGACTTAGTGCATGAATTTTAGTCACATCACAGGCCACTTGAAGCGTCCTCAGACCAAACTTTCAGTTTTATCTCTGGGCAAAATGATGAACATGGGCTCCATTTCTGCTCATGTGTCTGCTCCAAAATTGTAGCTTTCATTTTTGGTGTGCTTGATATTATAAACAGTTCGTCTTCAACTCTGTAATATTAAGGGCTTTTGGTAGATCATTTGAATACTTGAAATTCAATCAATGGCTAACATACCCAAAAAAGACAACACTGTTTCAGGATGGGCAAGCATTTCAGCCACATCTTCAAGCAGTGTCTCTTATTAAAAACCTTATCTTTTCTTCTGAATACCAACAAGATTTGCCTACTCCTTTTCACTATCATTTTGTGTAAAACTTTACAGGTGCTTACTTCATGCACAAAAGCTCTCAAGTACTTGAGTATAATTGTGCTGAGAAACCAAAAAAGAGAGCAGCCATGGTAAGCTCCTAGTGTCCGAGAAAAGGAAAAAAAATGAGTCAACACTAAATGGTTCCCACATCGCTGTGTCTCTCAAAAGACCCTCATAAGAATATAAGACACCTGAAAATCCTTTACTGCCTTTTTCTTTAACTGTGGTAAGCTTTTAGCTAATGGACTAAAAGTGTTGGCTAAAAATGAGAAGTTTGTCACATGTCTTTAAGCAAGAAGGAGGAGACATGGAGAAAATATGCAAGGACAGATGACAAAGGATGATAAAGTTATATGCTTTTCGACCGTTGAAGCATAGGATGTATAACGGTTCATGCCCACCGCTACCAAATATTTTTTTTTTTTGGGCTTTCCCTTTTGGGTTTCCCCTCAAAGTTTTTAAAACGCGTCTGCTAGGGAGAGGTTTCCACACCCTTATAAAGAATGTTTCATTCTCTTCTCCAACCGATGTGGGACCTCACAATCCACACCTTTTTAGGGCCCATAATCCTCGCTGGCACTCGTTTCCTTCTTTAATCGATGTGGGACTCCCCAATCCACCCCCTTTGGGGTCTATTGTCTTTGTTGACACACCGCCTCGTGTCCACCCCATTGGGACTCAGCCTTATCGCTGACACATCGTCCAATGTCTGGCTCTGATATCATTTATAACGGTCTACGCCCACCGCTAACAGATATTGTCTTTTTTGGGTTTTCCCTGTTGGGCTTCCCCTCAAGGTTTTTAAAACACGTCGGTTAGGGAGAGGTTTCCACACCCTTATAAAGAATGCATTGTTCTCCTCCCCAACCGATGTGGGATCTCACGCGATAGGTGTCTATACGAGCTTTGTCCTTGTGCCATTTTTGTATCAGCATTTTGTGCGGGGACCAGGACTTCCCACATGCAATCTGCCATCTGTGAGTCATCCTTCAGTCACTATAGTTGCTAACAAGACAAAGTAGCAAACTCATAAATACGCTTACTTTTGCCAGTTAAGTTGTGGGGTTCCCTTCATAATGTCCTTAAGCTATGAAGGATTAATAAGACAATTATAACTAAAGGTCAAAGTCTATCCTACTGGTAGTGCAATGAACAACTTTATGATCATTTCAAATTCTTTGCCCCAAGAATGGAACGAATCAATACGATTCAAGACCTTTCTGTTCACAAAACTCAACGCAACGTTACTGTACGGTTACCGTAGATGTTACGAACCGATCACTGTCAAGATATACTTTCTAAGAAG